CATCAAAAATCACCAAAGCGTTAGCAAACTATTATGACATCAAAATCACTAAATATTAAAAGTCCCTAAATGATTGTCAAACTAAATATTTGCTAAGTCAATTTCCTAAGTCATTCATAGTTTCTCTAATCAAATCCTTCAGTCCAACAAGAGGATATCCAGCAAATGTCCTTAATAGCCTATCATTACCCATGGGAGCTTTATAGATCTTGGCAATATAGATAGTTGCAACACTCTATTCTTTAAACATATCTCATACTTGCTTGCCTGAAAATTAAGGTATCTTGATTGATATTATTATCAAATGCTTCAAAATGCTTTATGTTAACATTATAATACGAAGCAACATGATATCAATAAAGTCCTGCAGTAGTATGAGTTCCTTCCCCTGATGCTGTATCATTGCCATACAAGATCACAATCTTGTTATAGTTGGGGAAAGAAATATTTTTTCAATTTGCAACCCCAGGCTTTGACTATAAAGGGCAAAATTCAAAAAAAAAAGTTAATATTAATGAATAAATTCTATATTTAGATTAATTAGAATTCTCCAAAATAAATGTAAAGGTAAACTAACCTCAATAAATTGATCCCAAACTTCTGCCTTCTGTAATTGGGTTGATGGCTTCTAAGTGAATCCATTTAATTCATATTTAAAAATATCATAAATTTCATAGAAATTTTTTTAAAAAATGTTTTCTTCCTATTTTTAATTTTCTCTTTATCTATTTTAATATTAAGCAAAGTACTCATCTCTTTCATAAATTTCTCACATATAGTGGTTGTGAATGTGCCATTTACTTTATTGTCACAATTATATTGTTTCATGAAAGCATCGACAAGATAATCATCCATAGTTCTTATCCAATTCAAACTTACTTATTGTTATTTGATTTTGGCAACATTCTATTACGAAAGCAACAAAACAATATGGGAAACAAAAGTCAGCATAATATAAAACTTAAAAGCAACAAGTTTGAAATTTCAAATATGATATATATGTCTAACTTCAAAATTATTATAATATAGGCAAACTTAAAAGCAACAAGTCTTAAAATTCAAATACAATATATGGAATTCCAACTCCAGAGTTGTTAGGTAGCAAACTTTAAAACATCAAATATGAAACTTTTAATAAACTTGAAGCAACAAGTTTATCCAAGCACAAATTTCAAATTAATTAGGGTACATTATCATCACGTGTCATTAGCCTATTTTGATAATCTATCCACATCTTATTTGCAATAATATCTCTAATCAATTGTCCTTAAGCAGCCTCCTTATTCTCACCCTTTCATTCACGATTATTAATATGACAGTCAAATTGAGTTGCAAGTTCACGATCTACTTCTTTTATGAGATCCTTATTAGGATCTATACTCATTAAGTAGTCATGGAGAATGCAACGTGCTCCAATGATAAGTGTTTGAGCTTTCACTCCATTAGTAGGCTTAGATGAATTAGCTAAAATAAAATGTCAAATCTTTTTTTTAAAACACCAAAAACCTCTTTCAATTGTATTATGTAGTTATGAATGTCACAAGTTAAACAATTCTTTATAATTTTGGGGTAAATTTCTTTCTGACTATTCTTTCAAATGATAATGAACTCTTCCACTAGTTAGCATGAAACCAATATCTACAAGGTAGTACTTACCTTTAGGAATTTTCACCTTATCCTTTTGTGTTATTGTATTTTTCATAATCCTAAAGTCAGATAGTAGGCCTTTCTATCCGGTGAGAATGTAAGTGAATTTTAAATCAAACGAGCAAGCTACTAAGACATTTGTATTGGAAAGTTTTTCCTGCTATGATACTGAGGAGTATCTTTAGTAGATACCTCCATACATATATGTGTCTCATCTATGGCACCAATACAATCTTAAAAAAGAAGAAGATAAAACCTGTCATTTGTATGGATTTCAGCAAGAATTTTTGTCCCATCAGGTTTGTACAATAAATTTATCGCATACTTCAATAATGATAAGGGGATGATAATTAATTGTCTCAGCAGATACTACTCGATTGTTTGCTTTATGGCTTAGTCTGTAAAGAGTTTTTGTCACTTGTTTTTCCATAGGAGCCAATCTTGTAGGTTTTAACCCCCTCTCTTTCTAGTAAGGCAGAGTCATATAAATGATATTGTGACTTTTTTCATTTGTACTTAATTGACTCATTATTTCTTCATGCATTCTTTCCTTTTCTAAGCTCATATTATAACTTATTTTTCTTTTGCGACACCTCTTTTAGATAACAAGGTAGACAAAAACACATATGAGTGGTGCTTGGCGTAAATCTAACCATCAACACAAGACTAAATTATTTTGAAATCCTGATTCCATCTAACAAATCATGTTGACATGTATCTAATTAATAAAGACCACTTGAGACATAACAAATATATTATAGATAATCATTGATCAAAATAAAATACCGATCAAAGAAGTATATTATAGTGTTTAGCATATTATATAAATTATAAAACACACGTACTTAATTAGATTTAAAAATGAAATTGAATTAACATAGGTATATAAGGACATGCATATCATCAAATGTAGTGGTTGATAACATCATTCTAATGTTTCTTAGTAACTTCAACTCATATAAACCAATAAAGAATAACCTTATACATAATAAATGAATCAAAAATAGTAATAATACTAATCAGATAAACGAAGTGGGGGATCTGACAAGAGGAAAATATGGCGAAGAAATAAAGTACGTAGGGAAAAAGAGAATTAAGATATAAAATGCTAGATTTTTTGTTGCATCTGATGCCACAAAAGTTTTGGTCGTTCTTCAAGATATACCATTTTAGTTTTCATTTAAAATTAGAAATAGTGGTTGTTACGTGACACTGACCATTGTTTCTTATTTATCAACACCTTTAGTTATTGATGACTTGGATTGCTTTTTTAAAAGTCAATAATTTGGGGAGAAGACAAAGCCGACACGAAAAAAAAATAATGACATCGTATACTATTGGAGACTAGGACTATATGAAAAATATCCACCTAAAGACAAAGGATTCGCATAACCATATACACTCTCATACTCAATATTATGGGTAACCAAATGGCTTTTAATGACTAAGAACTCTGAAGCTTACCTGAGTGAAGACGTGAGTAGCTATAGGAGCAATTGGCAGTGGCGATACAGAGCAGGTGATGACAGTGGATGGAGTAGAGCCAACCAAGTCAAAGATCGGAAGAAGAATAGTAACTGAAATAGTTTAAAAAAAAGTTTTTACCGAAAATAATAAACTTGAAATATTTAAAAACTAACTAATATGAGTAATTTAGTCAAGGTGAGACATAATATTTTTCTCTCTATCAAAAAATACCAAATTTGAAGGGACGACTAAAAAACAAAATTTTTTTCCTTCCCTTCCTGCCATTCTTTGGAACTAAACACAATTTCTCATCTCCTCTCTTCTAAAACCTTACAACCAAACAGTGCATAAGTGTAGTAGAGGACCAACGCGGCCGAATAAAAAAAGACAGCAAGCAAAGCATTGGGCTACTGGGCTTCCTGCGATCAGTGTTTCTTCATCCCCAAAAAACTTCTTGGACCCAAATCAGTTACGAGTGATTGGGATATCAATATCAATATTATATTTATATTTGCACCAAAGAAAATTACTCATAGTCCCGAATAAAAAGATTTAAGTACAAATAGGTTTCTTGAATTTTATTTAGTAAAAATAGATCCAAATGAATTTAATATTTACAAAAAAATTTTAAGGTTGACTTGTAAATAATGTAACTTGGCTTATAAATATAAAAGTTTTACTTATAAATATTAATTCGCGGGATCCATTAATATTAAATAAAATTTAGAGACCTATTCTCTTTTTTTTTTTTTGGGCAAAAGCTTTAGAGACCTGTTCATATCTAACTTTTTACATAAGACCTATATATAACTTTCCCTATATTTTTTAGTTGTTGGGTGGACATGATTCTAAGAGGACCCCAGTATTACTCACAAGTCTCTTATGAGAAATATTCATCTGATTCTTAATATAGGATCTAATTCTTGAGTTAGTTTTAATTCTAAATATAAGAGCCATTTCTCATATTTATTAATTTTCTTTAAATTACCCCTATGGATACTCCCTCAACCATAATCAAGTAGAAAAGGAAGAGGGGGTATTAAGAAAAATATGTCACTTTTCTTATAATTAACTAACTTACCTAACTTCTTGAATTTAATCAAATTAGTTAAATGTGTCTTATATTAAGGACCGGAGGAGTAATTCCTTTTTTTTTTTTTTGCCTCATCTACATTTAGTTTCCTTAATTTCTCAATCTATCATTGGCGATTAGGAGAGAGCTCCATCATCAAAATTTTTGGGAAGAATGATCAAGGTGGGATTTCAACTCAATAGTAATTGGTCTCTCCAAATACTTCCTCTAGTTCTTAATATAGTTAGATAAGTAATTTAAACAGATTAAAAAAAGTAGTTAATTTGGTTAATAGTAACAAAAATGTGTTGATTTTCCTAAATCATCCTCTTTAATTATGTATACTAAAACTATCAACTAGTAAAAACCCTTACTATCAATAGGGAAATTTGAGAGATAAAATGAATTGAGGTTTGATATTTAGAATCAAATTCAATATCTAATTAGTTTTTATATTAAGGACTGGAGGTAGTAATTTATAGCGATTGGATTTTTGGTGCATTTTGACTCACAATTAGTGTCATGCAACATATTAATATCAGAATAGCTTAAGTAAATGACTAGACTTAAGGAATTCATAACTCATCATTTTATAACCAATTCCATAAAACTAAGTTATGAACAACTGAAAAAGTGCCAAATTTACAACTCATTTACATGTGACTGATTAAAATTTATAACTTGTATCTTGGAAAAATAACAAGCAGGCTTGAGAGAGATTAACAATTTTCTTCAATGCAATAGTATTGCAAAATTAACTTTTTTCCATAAATATATTGTGATGCCTGCAAAAACGCAAATAACACTTGCCACATGACAAACAACATATGAATTTTCCATACAATATACTCGAAATGTTTACTTTCTTTCATGTAATTCCAACAATTAAAATCACATATTGACGTCAAAGTACGCAACCAAATTAAATATAATCAACAAGAAGAAGAATAAAAGTGACAATTCGTAGTAAGCTCGACGTACATGTAGAGATCGATTAATGTTTCAACAACAACACACTTCTATAGCTTTAGTTCAACATTTATTATTGGGACGATTGATATATAAAGCCATTTTCACTTCTAAGGTCATGCGATACACTTTGTTAGCCGTTCTTGCTTCTCCTTATAGAGAAACTCAGCCACCCTGCACACGACCCACAAAATTAACGGCAAAATTGAGAGAGAGATAGAGAGATAGATACATACAGAGAGAGAGAGAGAGAGATAGAGTACATACTCTTTGAGGGCTTCTGTATTTGTAGGGCCATCGGGTACTTCCTTGAATTCGAAAGTTGCTAAGTCCAAACTTGTTACCCTTTGCTCTAATATTTGATTTGCCAATTCTTCAAGGTTCTTCATGTTTTTGTCAGAGCCATCATCCATTTTAGCCATTTCTCCACTTAACTTGTCGGTCTGCATTCGTCGCAATTCAAATAAGAAACATTAGAAGGCCTCATGTTCGAACTAGTCGTGGGATTTGCCCTAATCCTATAAAGGTAAAACCTTAATTCATTTTAATTTTTTCCTCAATTTTTTATTTCCCTCAATATTATTCGTATTAATTGCACATATTAAAGAAAAATTTCATCGACAAGAGATAGTTTCAATGCAAATGACTAAAAGGGACATCTTAATAGTTTAGTTTAAGCTAAGTGTATGCATCTTAATTATTTCCTTATCAATAAAAAGAATTAACATTACAATATGTACTACTTCCAATCATTAATAGAAAAACTAGATAAAAAAATTGTGGATATTAGGGAAATTAATTATGTTTTTTTATTTGCTAAGCACAAGCATCTTCCTAAGTACCATCAGTATTAAATGTGGACACTTCTCCTAACAGGAATTCAAACACTAATTCGCTATATTGTAGGGAACTAGTCTGTTCTGCTAGATCCTACCTCTATTGGTTAAAATTAATTAAGTTAGTTATAACAAATGGATCATGATTTCCCCAAACTAATATATTTAATTATGTGTATTGGAATTACTCCTTAATTGGGAGCCCTTGATATATGTGATTAATATGGACACTTTATTTGGGCAAAAATTTAAAACTTTGGGAGGCAAAATGCATCTAGGTCTTATATTTAGAACCCAATTGAACCCCTTATTAAGCTCTTATATTTAAGACTGGAAGTAGTAATATATATGCACCAATAATATACTACGTTCGGTTTTAATTATAAGACCTCATTTGTATATTATAAATGAGGTCTTATAATTAGGACCATGGGTAGTATTAATAATGTACCTGAATTCTGAGATAGTTATTTGAACCAAGGGCTTGGAAAACAGAGGCAAGGTGATAATCAACCAAGTCCTGACTTCCATCAAGTGTTAATTCAGTGATAGGACCACTTGCCCATGCAAGACTTCCCCAGTTAGCAGCAGCTCTGGCATCATAATCTTTGTTTGGCTTCTGAAATCCAGTTCCTAATGATAGCAAATATATTTTTGAATAATCATTTGGCTCCACTTGTAAGCATTCTGTGTTCCTCTTCTTCTTTTGCTCTATGATCTCACTTATTGAAATCAAAGCCTGCCAATAGACAAATATTTAATACTGATTTCATTATATCAACACACACACACACACGCGCTAGTTGGAGTTGTTAAAAGGGCTGAGTTAAATGAGCCACGCTACTACAAAATATATAATTTCCCTCAATATCTACATCTGTTTTTTTTTTATTAAATAAACATAATAACTATAAGAGGTGACATTTTTAAAATTTGAAGTTGGGTTACATTTGCATGTATAAAAACAGATCATAGAAAAGAGATTCCACAATTGAGCAAGCCTTTTATAGGTTCATATATGACACATTAATCTGGTGAGTTAGAAAGCGACACGCGGCATACCATGTGGGTTAAACAAGCCGGTTCAGTACTTAACTAACCAAAAAGTAAATAAATAAATAATCTCTCTCTCTCCCTCTCTCTCCCTCTCTCTCCCTCTCACACACACACACACACGTATATATCTTTCAATACTATATTCAGCTTTCAACATTTAATTTTCTAACATCTACCACAAAAATTAAAAAGAAAAAGAAAAAGAAAATCTTTTTTGTACAATACACAAAAACCATTTTTACAAACAAAAAAGAAATAATTACCGGATTATTTGCTATAACGCCGCCATCAATCAAATTGAATTCTTTGCCATCGTTGGAAAAATAATGTGGAGGAAGATACGTTGGTGCAGCTGAAGTCCCAACACAAATATCTGAGAGCTTGGCATCAATAGAGGGCATTGTTCCCAGCTACCACCATGAAAAAACACAAATTAATTACCAAGGATCTAGTGTTAATTATTGTCAAGACTACTGTTCATTCTTCGAATAATGACTTCTTTGACCATAATAATTTTGAATTAAAGAAATATAATATAGCTCTCCCTTTTGAGGGATCAATCTTTAACTACCAATTAACAACATCATTGTAAAGTAAAATTTATAAACAGCTGTATACTATTTATAAGCTAGTTAACGTAACACGAGGGCACGAATCTATATTTTACAATATTAAAGTTCCTACAAGTCTATCCTCATTTCGTAAACTATCAAATTATTATTAAATTAAAGAGTATGAAGGAATTGGGTATTATATACATAAGAGTAAAGAAATAATGCATGTGCAAATTAAATAATTAATACCTTGAAGCTTGAGAAAATAACAGGTCGGACTTGCTTCATGTCGAAGGTCGGAATTACAACATTGGTCAATGTCTCGTGCAGCTTTGTTCCCTGCAATTTGTTTCTACTGGTCTCACGTAAATACTTACCATCGTACTTGGGTTTATTGAAAAAGGTTTCGATTTTTCTTGTCCAGCTGTGACATCATAGATGGACAAATCATTGTTAAAAAAAAAATTAAAAGAGAGAGAAAGAGATTACTTGACAATTGTCTGCATAAGTTAAAGATTACTATTTGAAAAATTATACTATTTTTGTAAGATTGTTATGTGTTTTCGTACCTTGGTTCTGGAAAAATACGTTTGGCTTCGTTTTTGTAGAAATCTACAATATCTTGAGCGGTGAATTTAGGACGTTGACTTTTGTCTGGTGTTGCAAGTAGGGCTGTGATAAGTCCACCGGTGCTGGTTCCGCCGATCACATCAAAATAGTCTGCAATTCTTGCATTTTCATCGAATATCTGCCCTCAGAAGCACCAAAAATGAAGAAACCCTAATGATTAGTTTCTAATATTTTAACTTCAAAAATCATGAGATTTTGAGTCAGCAAGAGCCTAATTCAATAAAAAGGTAATGATGAAAATCTTACCACCTTGTGAATTGTAAATCTATTCTTAAAATGAATTCTTAGAGTGTGTTTGGAAAAGGAACTAGCTTCCAATATATTTTTCTACCTTTAGGGTTCAGGGATTAGAAAACATCGTGATTTGGGAGGTGACAAGACACCATCAAACATATAATCTCTTATTGAATTATGCGGTGTAAAAAAATAATATTTATTGATGAGAAATATATTTAAAAAATGATAAGAAATGGCCTATATTATTGATAAAATGAAGAATTAATTCAAATAATTGAACCAAACCTGAAGCTGTTCCTCAAGGTATCGCAGAATAATTGCTGGGATGATGCCCCTAACACCACCTCCATCGATACTGAGAATAGTAACAACCTTTCCATAAGCAGAAGGAGGTAGCTTTGACATGAAGATATGATGAAGAAGATGAAACTCACAGAAAATTAGTCTAATGCTTGATGAGATAACAGCTAATTAATTGGCTTGTTTATATATATATATATATATATATATATAGACACACACGTACACATTCTTCATTCAAGCTTGTGAAGGGTGTATATGATTATTATTAAATCCATGAGACTTGGATAAGTGATAATGACCAAGAACAAGTCTTTGGTCTCTTTAATTATGAAGAAGCCCAAGACATTGTCTCTTGACTTTTGGAATGATAATTTATTTTATTCATATATGCTTAAATATTTAGTATACATTGCTTTTGCTTGTGTGCATGGGCTTTGCTTAAATATAAAGATAAATTAATCGAAATAAATAATGCAACAGCTATTTTTATTTTTGAGCACGTTATAAATTAAAATAATTATGCATAGCAATCCATTAATCGATTAAGATAATAAGAGACTTCGATCATGTAATTGAAACGGATGATATATATCAGCCCACCACTTGAAATCAGTTCTTCCGTACTCAACCAGAAATTATGGCAGTTTACATTATGAGTTTATGACATAGGACATTAAAATTAAAAAAAATACATTATATTATTTTTATATATTAATTCAAACCACCCATGTTCAAATATAAATGATTACCAATTGATCAGTTGGCAACTTGATTGATTAACTATTGGAGTCTTAACTGATCGATGCGTGATAAAGGATCAAATTGAAATGGACAATTCAAATACAATTAGAAACTTAACGTATTGGATCAGCACTACTACTCAACTTGAATGTATTAGATAAGTCAGTAGTGTTTAACAATTACGTTTTTGGAACGGAACTCTCTCTCTCTCTAATTTTAGTTCAATCTTTGCAATTGAATGTTAAAAACTATCACTTGTGAGATTAAAACCTAATATGAAAAATGTTCATTTTCAGCTCTGCCTACGAAATGCTAATGTTTATAATGGATTTACTCTTTACTCATTCAAAAACCTCTCACGTATCATACGTAACCTAATTCTTTTGCTCTGACCTTGCCATACTTATACGGTTTAAATTACCACAGAACTTGTATCGTTGATCATTGCAGCAGAATCAACAATTTAAGCTAGCAATTAAGAAATTTCCAATGAACACATGTATTAACTCTTATCAAATCCTCGATTGCCTCAGTTTTTATTAGAGAAAGAAGTCCCACATCTGGTAATTACTAGCTAGATTAGGCATATATAAAACTTCAGATATACCAAAATAAGGCACTCGATAATCCGTTTTGGTAAAGCAGAAGATTGTTTTTTTAAATACAATTTAAACACAGGTACGCCCACAAACATGTAAACACGGAGCTCAAGTTTGAGATCTTATCCAAGTATGATGAGTCCCGGTACAACACTTGCTCTCCATGTGCCAAAGAAATATTGCCACAAGATTAACAAGAGGTTGACAAATTTATTTTGGGGTGATACATAATATGGACGAGAAAGAAATTTTTCTCAAATAGCAAGAAATATGTCTGCCATATGAGGAAGGAGGATTGCAATCTTGCAATAACAATCCAGATTCAATACTTCAATACGGGGTTAGATGATGACAACAAGATACATAGGATAACAACTGTGATATGACGGCTTTAAATTCCCTGTCTCAAACCTCAAAAGACATTGTTCTTTCTAATGATATCTGGCTTGTTCAAATAGACATTTATAAAAATGATTTTTATCCTAATTATATTTTGCAAACTGAAAATTTGGGGTAAAATTAAATTCAATTAGTGTGATACACTGTTAAGAAAAAGTAAATATAGTATAAACTTGTAGTATATATGGACGATTTTTATCCTAATTATATATTGTTTTAACCAGAGTAGTATGGATGATATGTTGAACAGTTACTTTCAGAAGTTCCAAATCTAAAATAAATTTTTTAAAAAAAGCCGAAAGCTATTTTTTTTAATTAGGTCTTAACGGAGGAGTAATAACTATACGCCGTGTTTTCAGTGCACATAACGGATCTAACTGTTCATGTGAAATGGACGCAGCACCAAATAAATGACAATTTGGGACCAAATTTTCAAGGATTTGCGGCAAATTTAGTATAAATGGATCTATCATAAACCCCAAAATTTTTTTTGGATACCAGCTCTCAAAAGTAAAATTTTTTTGAATCCATTTGCGCCTTGATCCTGAATTCAAAGATCGAATGACGCTTTTATTATAGTCTTGAGTTAAATTATTGCTATCAATATGAATAATCAATCAATTAATAATTAATTATACCTCCTGTGTGACGAGACAATACTGTATATAGATTGTTAAGCAGGATATGATAACAAATAATTGTGAAAAAGTGATATTTATGATATATTCGCTATACAGCTATAACATTCATAAGTCATACAATTCATTTATCATATTATAAAAAAGGCCGTCATAATTTCATGTGTGTGTGTGTGTGTTGGCCAACGAACATAATTTCATATATCATTTTAAATTGTTGAAGCCATTTGGCTTATCTGAGACTTATCACGTTCCTTTCACCAGATGAAGAATGGTATAAAAAAATCATTTCACTTCTTATCTTCGAATAATTTCTGATGGCCAAAAAAAAAAAGAATAATTTCCGTGCTTTATCAAGAAAGTGCTCTTGACTTGTAAATGTGAAATGTGACTTATAACTATTAAATTCTTAGAGAATTATTAGTATTTTAAAAAGGGTTAAAGTGTAAATGTATTCATGAAGCATTTTGTCATGGCATTTAACACCATATATATATATAAACTTTTCTTTTCTTTTCTTTTCTTTTTTTTGCCAAGAACATGATAAATTTTTCTTAAATGTAAAAGTATAATGAAATTTTTAAATGGTGTAAAATGTGATCGACGTTAAGTCAACTAATATTGACTATTTAATAAACATTTAAATCAAGAAAATGGAGTCTCTTAATCGATCAATTAAACTGTAATTTTCCTAAGAAATCCGGTATGATTTTATGTAGTAGTTAATGTAATTGTGATATAAAGGCTTTAAATGCCATGTGTGAAACCTCGAGAGACAATATTGTCTTGGAAAAAAAGGGGGATATTGGTTATTGGATCATCCATTTCTTTACTTACAACGAGCTAAGTACCCGGAACAAATTATATGCATTGCATAATTATTCTAATATCCAATAAATTTGCAAAAATTTGATTTTTATTCAAGCCATATTGTCCAGCAATTAAATGAGATTGGCATTCACAGTTTCACACACACACACAGACACAAACAAACGAACAAAAACAAGTTTAAAAGTACAATGGAAGAAAAATCTCAAGAAGGTTTATTTCAGGCCAAAACAAAAAGGAAACAAACAAAGAGGATTATTATTATTATTGAAACACCACCAATGCCACCCCACTTTGAAAGCTTTGGCTCATCACTTCATTCCATTTCCACTCATTAGGTCCTTTCCTTCGCTTCTCTAATATCGTGGAGAGATTTAGCCACTCTACAAAACATAAACGACACGAACTTACAATTAATACATTATATGTTAAATTTGAACATGTGATATTATAATAGATCTTATATTAAAAACCATGGAGTGAAGTTATTATACATAGGATGAATAAAAATATCAAGAAGAATTACTATAAGGTTTCAAAAAAAAGATCTAATCAGCCAAAAGTTCAATAATAATTGAGGAGCATATAATGGCAAGTTTCAAGACAGAAAATAACAATAAGTTCTTGCTACTCATTTGTACTTTTTAATAATTAAATTATTTTCTTAGGACACCATAATAATTCTCCCAAAATATTATACGTGCAAGCAGGGATACATACTCTTTGAGGGCTTCTCGATATGAACGTTTATCGTCGGGGTCGTCTTCGAGCTTGAAGGTTTCTAAGTTCATCCTCTGAACTAGTCCATCTAATATGTCATTTGCCAACGTCTCCAGATTACTAATGTTTTCGTCGGTGGTGCAATCCATTTGAGCCGTATTTCCACTTAATTTGTCAGTCTGCATCACAGCTCAAATAAGTAACAGTAAAATACAATAATTTAATAGCAAAATTATACTTTTTGTAATTAAAGAGGCAAGTATTAACGTCACAGGCGAATCAAACTCGTAACTTTCCACTTTGAAGGAAGCTACCATAGCCATTCGCAATATATCAATATCATAGTAATATATCAATATCATAGTGTTACCAAGTCACTGGTAATTAATATAGCTAACTTCATATAGGGTACAATACATACGATCCACTGTGAATTTAATTACACTAACTATATGCTCCTCCAATCCTATTTATTTTTACTAAAACTAAGAAAATCTTTTAAACCTCATTAATTCTATCTTAAAATTTAGTAATTTTTTTGACTTTATGAAAAATTTAATATGGGAGACAAGAGGGAATGAGACTTATATTTCAGACTAAAGCATAATGATTAAATAGATATTATATTTAAAACCAAAGATACGTAATAATGAATATGAAAAGGTAAGTATCCTATATATATGTGCATTAATTAACAATGTACTACCTGAATTCTCGTATAAGTTTTTGAGCCAAGGGCTCGGAAAACAGAGGCAAGGTGATAATCAACCAAGTCCTGACTTCCATCAAGTGTTAATTCAGTGATAGGGCCAGTCGCCCAGGCGAGAATGCCCCATTTTTGAGCGGCTCTGGCATCATAATCTTTGTTTGGCTTCCGAAATCCAGTCCCTAATGATATCAAAAATATTTTTGTATACTCATTTGGCAACACCCTTGGTATGATTCTTGGTACCAATCTTCTATTTATCATCCCTATTGGTGGCCGCTCTACTGCTACCGGCCGATCCTGTGTGACCTCAATTATAGCAATCAAAGCCTGCAAATAGGTGACATGATTATTCATAATCAGACATCATAGGCCTCGGTCATTGTTTGAAACAGGAATTGAAGAAAAGTCGTTGTTTAAAAATTTTTGTGGACAAAGAGATTTAAATTTGAATACCGGTACTTTCTACTGATAAAAACATATCAGACCGACCCTTCTGCCCAATAAAATTTCTAGATAGGAATTTTTCATGGACTTGCACCGAAGTATGGCTAATCTAAATTTTAAAGGGGAGCCGCAAAGTTTGTTACAACTTACAAACGAAATTAAATTTGGATGTCTGAATTCAAGTTTGGGTTGGGAAGTAAAGTGTGACTGTCTCACCCTTTTGGATGCTTAATGATATTAGAGTCCAACTATGGTGGGGAATTGCATGTGTAAAGACATTCAAAACAGGTATTGAAAATATTTGTTTATTCGATTATTATAAGTGTAAGAGCTAGATAGCCAAAAAATTTTTAAAAAATTGAGTTAGTTATTTGTATAAAATGTGTGATAGATCAGTGATTTACCAAAAATACAACTTTTAATCATTTGCATTGAAAACTAATCATTGTATTAAAAAACTCTTAATATATGCATGCAATCAATTAAACTGGAAAACCAAAATAGATTGGTGTCTTATATTTAAAGTCAATTTGGAAACACTTAAAAAATTATGTTTATATTTTACAAGTCAAAACTCATCTCATCTATTTACTTTACACAATGCAAGATTACTTAAAATTAGTGGAACCAAACAAGCACTTAGAACTAAAATGAACCCTCTCTACTAGCTCTCACTTTTGGTAGCATTGGGATGGACACGAATGTAATTAATTACCGGATTATTTGCTATGACACCGCCATCAATCAAATGGAACTTTGGGTCATGTTCTGGAAAATAATGTGGGGGAAGATACGTTGGCGCAGCTGTAGTTCCAATGCATACGTCTGACAGATCCACATCGTCGATTTCCCTCAGCTACATCATCCAATTATTAAAAAAAATTAGAATGTACTATAGTCTGAAATAAAGTAACCCTTCTAAAAGAAATTTTTTAGTCCATAATATAAATTACTTATAGAGTTATCCCCAGTTATTAATGATAGCCACGTGATGTATATCAAGAAATTAAAGAACGGAAAGACAAGCCAGAGATAGAGATAAAATTGAAAAAAAGATTAATTGAAGACAGATTTAATGAGTACTACTCTTCCTTAATAATTTTGGCAAAACAGTTAAAAATAAGTTGCATTTCAAATCAAAGATGAGAGTTTATTATCTCTGGAACACTACCACGCACATATATATACCTTGCAGCTTGAGAAAATAGAAGGTCGGATTTGCTTCATGTCGAAGGTTGGAATTACAACGTTGGTCACTGTGTCACTCAGTCTTATTCCCTTCAACTTGGCTCTTACGATGTTATGTAAATTTTCACCATCGTACTTGGGTTTGTACAGATAAGCCTGGATTCTTTGTCGCCAGCTGCAACATATATATAAACATACAAGTATAGTTATATTACTCCATCAGCCTAAATAACGAAGACGACAAAAAAGAGTCTAAAAAAAATCTGCAAGGAGCACATTTTAATAAATAGATTTCTTTGAAATCAATTAAAAATTAGCGAGTGAACCAAATAAAAAAAAAAGAAGGTCAATGATAGAACAGAGCAACAGAAAAACTAGAGTATCTGAAGTCAGATACGACTTGTACTCAGATAAACAAAGGTGACTGCAGGTAAAAAGAAAAGGTGACAAGAGAGAAATGTGATTAGTAAATGAGGCTATAGGAAAAGAAGCTGACCAGACAAATAATGAAAGTTGACCCGAGAAATGCAATTTGTATAATATAACATATTTTGTCTAAAATTTTAATTTTTTTTTTCATCTGGCATCCCAAATTAATTATAAGGCACATAGACAAAAACTTGGTGAATAAAAAAAGGCATAATCTCGAAGCCTCGAACATTAATTAATATATTTTTGCCCATTGATATTCATTTGCGGAGTGATAGACAAATTGATGAGCCCAATGTAGATCTGGTAGATCACAAGGCATCTGGTTAAGTTAAGACTTAAAAGTGACTCCTTCAGAACAAAATTTTTCAAAGAGAAAAATTTATAATATAGTACCTTCCTGGGGGAAAAAAATATTTTTGGATTCCTCTTTGTAGAATTTAACAATCTGGTCAGTAGTAAGTTTCGGACGTTTGTTCTCATCTGGTGCTGCAAGCATGGCTGTGATGAGTCCACCAGTGCTGGTCCCGGCGATCACATCCAAATAGTCTGCGATTCTTGCGTTCTCATCGTATACCTGACCTCCATCACCAAGTTCAAACCCTACTCATCACTATTTTTTTAAGACCAAACACTAAAAACCCTAATGATTACTATTTTATATGAATAAAATTAAACTTAGGTCTATTTGTCAATATATATTTATAACCAATTCATTAATTAAATCTCACCATTTAAATTTTTGTCATAAATATAAGAAAAATAAATCTGCAGGTCCCTATAATTTTATCTGATCTTTAATGAGGTCCTTACATTTTTTTTTTAAAAAACAAGGTTTTATAGTTTTACTTGATTTTCAATCAGATACCTATAAAAAGAACAAAAATGTAGTTACCTAATTAAAAATCAGATGAAATTATAATAACCTGATAAAAAAAAGAAGAAAAAGAAAACTACAGGATCTTATAGATTCACCTGATTTTTAATCAGGTCCTATAGTTTTCTTTGTTTTTTTAAATCGAGTCCTTATAGTTTCACCTAATTTGTAATAATCAGGTCTCTAAATTTTTTATCTGGTCTTTGTAGTTTTACATGATTTTTAGTTAGGTTCCTGTAGTTTCAATTGATTAATAAAAAGTTCGGGCAAAAAAAAAAAGACTAATAAAAAGAAAAAAAACTACAGAAAAAACTATCTAAAAATCAAGTGAAACTATAAAACCCTGATAAAAAGGAGAGAAAAAAAAACAGAATGGGAGCTAATTAAAAATTAAATACGATACTAAAACTTTATGCTGGTTATTAATTTTCCTTGAATATAAATGATAAAATGAGAAAAAAGGGTCCAAATGTTGAGATTATTGCAATGAATACAATTAAATATTCATGAGTCATCTTCAAACGCTACATATGTTGACGTGATAGAAATATATTGAAAGTCAATTTGTACGATATCTAAGGATTAACTTCATCATCATGTAAGCAAAGAAAAAGAATTGACTTTACACTATAAGAAAACTATAAGAAATCCTATTACTTTATTCCTAATTAAATTTATGGAAGAATATACAAGTATTAATGAAATGAACCAAAACCTGAAGCTCCTTCTCAAGGCATTGTAGAATAATTGCTGGGATGATGCCCCTAACACCACCTCCATCAATACTGAGAATAGTAACAAAGTCCGATTGATCATGATGAAGAAATGGCTGTAAATGATGGGCTAGCTGAGCCATTTAAGGTATAAACGGAAGAGGAGGAGGAGGAAGAAGAAGAAGATATACACACAACTGATCTAATCGATGAAATTAAAGAGATCATTATAAAAGCTGATCAGCCGGGCATGTCTATTCAAGATTGAGAAAGGGTGTATTTATAGCTATACACCTCACTTGCATTTGCATTTCTTAATGATCAAATTGCTGAATATCCAGCTAGACATGGCATATTTTATATTGACCATAGACTTTGCCGACGTCTTGATAAACAAAGAAGACCAAGAGTAGAAATACCCAGACGGGAAAAAAACCAAATTATATCAATATAATGTGATTTTTTCTAAAATATCCCCATGTAATATTACAATAAATAACACCCAGAGGGAAAAGAAGAAGAAGATCACAGCAAGGTTGGTTGAGAGAGTATTGGCCTTGGAAAAACAAAACAAACAATCCAAGTTACTGAGAGAGTATATAGGTGCTTTTCACCAAGCTTTTCATAGTCAAAACATATGTTTGGTTCAATAATGTGATCTAAAGTTTTTAATTTTTTTTCCTTGCTTGCTATTTTTCCCTTATGTATAGTTAAATTAAATATCATTAGTAATTGTAGCCTTTGTCTTTTTATAAGGATGATTTTTTAAACATGTTGCTCCATTCGTTTCAAATGCAAGGCTTGTTTAAGTCCTAGATGTTTCAATATATAATGCACTTTATGGGGTTCTAAAAGCAATTGATGACTTTTTTTTTTAAAATCTAAAATGTTCCTAGAAGTATATTAAGGTTACTAACCTCCTACCTTAAAAAAAAAATTCATAATTGGTAGTATTGAATAAGAGTATAGTAGCGAGAGAAAAAAAAAATTAAACTCTTAATTTCCCAACTTTTCCAGTTATGTGTTTTCTGGTTAAAAATGTCTTATATTTGAAATGAATGGAGCATAATTTTTCACATCTTTGATTACCTGAGTCTCATTTAATGAATATTGTCCTAAAGAGGAGTAAACTAGAGCTACACATGATTAACGTAAGAATAAATGTTGTCCCAAAGATGACATAATAAAATTTAACAATGACATGATATAATTTCATTGATACACTACATTTTTTCAGATAATAAACACTACCTCCTTTTGCTAAACAAAAATCCCTCCTGTGCTACTTAATATATAGAAGATCTACTTAATTAATTGAGATAGATTAAGAAAATAAAATATAAAGTAGTATATATTAATTTATACATTCAGTAAATTAAGTTGTGAAAAAAATAATAAATATGAAAGACAAAATATGATTTTTTTTGTTTTGTATTTAGAGGGAGTTTGGAAACCCCTAGAAATACTTAAAAAATATGTTTTCATTTATGTCGAGACAAAACTTCTCTTATATACTTATTTTTAAGTTATTTTTGAAAAGCTAATACAAACAATCCGGTAGAACCAAATCTAACTTTCAGTTAGCTCCTATATTGTATTAGTGACAGAAAATTTCCGATGTGGACAGGCCCGTTAATATATCACCTTAAATAATTTCAATGTGCAAACTGTGAACACCTTGACAAATTCTGCTTCGAGATATAAAATGTGAGCACATGCCAGGTTTTCAGCGCACGAAACGGAGCCAAGTGTTCATATGAAATCCAAATAATAATATATTTGAGGCAGAATTTTCAATAGATTTGCGACAAATTTAACCTTTGCCACGGATTTGGTGCAGATCGGTCCATCATAAATTTTGTAGTAAAAAAGGTTTCTTTTACAATGGAATTTCCTTTTTAACAGAAAAATATATGTGATAAATTAATGTCCATTATAAATTTTCAATTTTTTATAGTGCCGTGAAGGGCATAAAAGATGCTGTCATATTCCGTTTGACCTCCTTAATTTTTTTTCTTTTTAAATTAGTTAAACATAAAATGCTTACTTGAAATTAAATTAATTGATTCAATGATTTCAACTACCTCGACATTTAAATTAATTTATTTATAATGATTTCAACTACCTCGCCATGCCAATAACAAAAAGAAAAATACTATTATTTCTTTCATCCGATTTTCAAAATTTTCAACTTCAAAAACTTGAATTTAATATTATCTTGATTAGAGACACGGTATTTACATGTTCTGTTGGCCCAACCCAAAAACAAAAAATGAATATGTATTGATCTATGCCATGTATCAAAAGGTGTTCTTGCCCGACCCGGCCCTTTTTTCGTTTTTAACTTTTTGTTAAAATTAATTGACTTTATGGAATTTTTTTTTTTATGTTTATGCAATTTAAATATGCACATACACCGACACAAACATGTTAATGTTAAATTTGAACTCGAGCCCTAAATCCACTGTGACAAGTGGCAACGTTGTTGGGATAGTCTGACGTTGACCTATAATAGTTTTTCTTGACTCATTCCACAAATGAGTAAGCTAATTTTATAACTGATATGGTGAATTTTTATGATTTCATTCTCTTGATTTTATAATTTTATTTTTAATAAATTATGCATATATATTAATTTTAAATTGATATGTTAGTTTAAAATATATTATGAAAATTAATGTAAAAAAATTGATTACTTATATTTTTGAAGAATGTTACTTTTAGTTCTATATGTTAACTTTTAAGGAATATATATTGATGAATTGATTTATAATTTTGATCTATAAATATAATTTGTATTTTTTTAAAAATAGATTTCTCTTTTTATGCCCTGTTCAGACCGAGATTGGATAATGGAGTGCCATGAACACCCTTAGCAGCCTTGGAGATTCTCCAAGTAATACTACATTTTAGTTTTCGATTAAAAATCCGATATTTCAAAAATTAATTTCTAATTATTTAAATTAAAATGATAACAAATAAATCAAATCAATTCCACGGGAGCACTTTTTAAAAAAGTAAATTGAAGTTAACTGCCCTTAATTTGTCGCTTTAGGGTTACTCTAAAAATTAATACAATATAGTGCAAAACTCGGGTCGTTTCACTTTGAGAAGCCAAAAATGAAATTAAATCCTAGTAAATAAATACAAGTAACCTAAACTATAAAAAGGATTTTTTATTTGATAATTGCTAAGTAAACACCGTGAATTAAATTGAAATTAAAATATTTTTTTGTTTTAATATAAAAATAATTAAAATGAATGAAGATTAAAGAAATAAAAATGAAACACACAAATAACAATACTAATAATCAATTCTCCAATTCAACAACACCGGCAATCCTCACTCCAAAAGATATGGGAGTTAAAACAATCAATTTAGAATTATAATTAAGCTTTTAATCTAACAACCGAGCCACCTCAAATTGTCACAAAATATTTTCATAAAATCCCAACTTACTAACTGCAACCAAAATAGTAAAATGGGATTAAGGATGCTAAAACCAATGCTTAGTTAGAACCCTTAAATCCAAAACAACGGAATTAAAGCTAACAAGAGACAATATGATCCAAGATTCCAAGCCACCTCAGAAAACCACAATATATTAACTCTAAAATCAATACAAATGTCATAATCACAACATTATAATTGAAATTAAAGTTATAAACAGCCCAATGTCAAATGCTAAACAATAATCCAGTCACAGTAATCTCCAAATATAATCAAATTAAACAATAAAAATTTTCTAATAATCAGAATAACTATCCTAAGACTTAGGAATTATTAAACAATTATTAGATAGGAAATTAAAGTAACTAAACTCCCCTTCGATGATCCAAGCTCGTACCATTGTTGTTGAATTAAAGAATCATAGAACTCTAGCCACGCATAATTTCAGAATCTACTTCAATCAGCTCCCTCATACCGTCGGCCATAGCACCGTTAAGCTCTGTTCTGCTCGCTGGCCGCCCTCTGGTTCGCTGCTCACTGTTGATTCTAGACGGAAGAAAAGAAGAAGATGATGAGTGTTGCCGTCGAGCTCTACACCTCACTCAGCTCCCTCGCCTCTCTCTCGCATGCGCGTCTCTATCTCCCTGTTCACGCCGCTCTCCTCTGTTTTTTTTCTTTTTTTCCGCCGCCCAACTCCCGTGTTCGTCTTGTGGGTCTTGTGGAGATGAAGAAGAATTATACTCCCTCCGTTCATTATTATAAGAGACGAATAACCGAATTACGTTGATAAAAACAACACTTAAAATTAGTTAAGAATAATCAATGTGTAAAAAGTATAATCTTTTTTCTAAAAATGCCCTCATTAATAAGGAGAGAGAGCATGAGAGAGAACAATTAAATTATTAAAAGAAAAAGAAGTGGGAAGGAGAGAGAGTGTGAGTTGGAGACAATAAATATGGGTAAAATAGAAAATCAACACAAAAAAGTAGAGACAACTTTTAAGTGTCTCTTATATATAGGAACATGTCATAAGCATCAAATGTCTCTTATAATAAGGAACGGAGGGAGTAGTATATTAGGTTGGGAGAGGGCAAATCGTTGCGTTTTGCTCTCCCCTTTTGTTATTGTTATATTTTTTTTCCTTTTTTTTTATTTTTTTTCCTTTTCTTTTTTTTTAATTTTTAATTCTTCCAAAAACCTGCAAACAAAATTCAAAAATAAGGTAGCATTAATTGTCCTAAAAAAACCAATTACTCACAATTAAACCAAAATATGACAATTTTGTCCCTATAAAATAATAATTCAAAATAAAATAAATTAAATCAATTAAGGAAAAAAGGACCAATTAAGCTGACAAAACTCATATAAAAGATACAAAAATATATAAAAATAATTGAGTTTTTCATAAATTAATGGACAAGTTTTTTTTACCATGTTTTTAGAGTTCAATGATTTTGAAGAAATTAAATAAAGTTAAATGATTAAATTACGGTTTAGAATTAAAAGACCAATAATATATTTTTACCTGTTTTAGCTTTTTTATTTATAATTTTAAAATGATAAATTAATTTTTTCGAAAATTTTACGGTTGAAAATTTATTTTATTTTAGATTCCACACCTATTATAATAATAAAATAGAATCAATTTCAAACCATTCAAATTTGATCTTCTTTCTCATCTCTCAATTTGAG